ATGAAGATATATCTGTTTGCAACTTATAGGGGGTGAAGAGTTACAAAATTTGTCTATATTTGTTGTAATGAAGGTTGGAAAACACACACACACACATATATATACTGTATATTCTTTATTTGTTTATCATATTCTTTCTTTTCTCTTTCTCCTCCTTTTTTCTTGCACTTTTTATTCTTTCTTACTGTTCTTTTTTCTTTCTTTAAGTTTAGTTTGTATTAATAGTAATAGTTTTTACCATTGTAATAAAAATCCTTAGTAAAAGATTATATACCTGCATTTAGATCGCCAGCACAATCCAACAATGTTACATCTGTTCAGACGACACCTTCCATTTTCAGGGAAGGATTTGAAAAAGGTACCAGGTCGAGCTGCAGAGGATTCTGGAAGAAATGGATTATCTGGATATTAGGGTTCAAACCCAGATATGGAACAAACTGCCTTGGCTGTTCTTTTAGTTGACTTTGCCAGGACCTGGATGGAGGAAATGTGGTTCTCCTAGTCCTTTTAGATCTCTCGGGAGAACTTAAAGTTATCAATGATGATATCCTTCTGTACTGTTTATAAGGGTGAGGAGTTTGGGGGTGGGGACATGTACTGCAGTGATTTCACTCCTTCCTGAGTACGGAGGAGGAATGCTCAAGTCTGTGGTCACCTTAGCATGAGATGCTGCAAGGCTGAGCCTTCTCCTCATGCTATTGACAAGGCTCCATTCAGCAAGGTCGTCTGTCAGTTCAGGATTAGGCATCATCCTTCCACAAATTATATATGTGTAAGTTTCTCTTTAGTTTATTACTGAGATTACCTGCTCTGGTACTATTCAATTTGTAACATTGGTGCTGTAAATACTTATGGAATTCCAGGTTTTGTTTTTTTTTAAATTCCAGTTCCTAATAGTTAAAATCCAAACTGAAGGATTCATTCTGAGTGATGCGCAGTTTAATCAATTGCACTTCCCTCCTGCACTACAGAATGTTTGCTGTAAGGCAATAACCTATAAAATGAGAACTTCTGGCCACTGCCATACCTAGAAAATGTTGTCACCCAGCAACCAAAACAAGTAGGAGAAAGATATTTTGCTCCATGGCAATGTTTTTTGATCTCATATCTGAAAGAATGCTTAAGGCCACTAACTTGAGTAGAAAGCAGAAACAATCAAATATGTGTAATGCAGGAGGTTTTATCATCAGCAGGTTCTTCCTTATAGCCCATATAGATGTGACCACGACAAAAGTTCCTGGAGCTAAGGAGGTCCTTTGCAGAACAGATCTAGTAAAGGCTCTTCAGTCCATAGCTGCCATTGGGGAATCCAGAAGCAAGACAAAGTCCAAGAGTCAAGCTCATTTCATTTGTATCTGCTCTTCTCTATACAACTGCCATAGCAATTTACAATAAGATATGAAATACAAATATGAGCAATGTGCCATTATCAGTAATAAAAGTGGCCAGTTCATCAAATACTGCTCCTTATATAGACAAAATGGCACTAGTTGTCAACAGACTTGAGGGAACCCATAAATTTGAGGTTCCAAATTCTAGGCAATGCTGGATGACTTGAAGTCTCCTGCTCTTCTTCTTTCAAAGGGCAGTGGACAACTCTTGAAATCCTTCAAACAGAGTGTTGCCTTAAAGTAGAACACTGAAGCTATCAGTTTTTCAAGAGAACTATAACAGAGTCTACAACAGGGTTTATAATGCTTCAGCATTATAAAATATTGCTTGCATTGGTTTTAGAAATCATCAGAAGATATTATGAAGCCACATGATAAAAATCTGGGAATCAGACTAGGGAAAAGGAATTAAACCTAATTATAAGTGGATAGGAAGAGACTCACAGGGGTATAATTGGGAGTTCTTCACCCATATTTCTCAGATGATGTGAGTGTCCTAGCAACCATATGTTCAGCATAAATGTCTCCAGGGAGAAAACCTTCACGGGTACAGTTGTGGATATATTAACTTCCACACAAACCAGGATTCTGTGCTATCAAGGCTCTGACTGTCATGGAGGCAAACATGCATACAGTTGTTCATTCAAAGGCTTCTCTCCTGCAGAATCCATGCTGGATGCAGGTTTCTTGAGAAGGCTGCATCCTCTGAGTGAGGTCAAAAAAGGAGGGCAGACTTACGAAAGGACTCAGCCGAATGAATCTGTGTGTGCCATGGAACTGAATTCTTCCTCCGTGCCGTCTTCAGGATATGGCTTCCACTTTTTCTATAGCATCATCATCTAGAGTAATGGTTATAGACGTAGATGTTGAAGGAGGAGAGCCGTGTTAGTCTCTTGTGGCAAAAAGTCAGAAGGAGTCTGGAACATACTTTTTGGAGCTGCAGCTCACTCCATCCTCTTCAGCACTTCATCCTCTGAAGCATCTAATCCTTTTGTCACATGGTGTAGAGAGTAAGGAAGATGGTCCTGTTGGAGATGTTTAGGAACTGTTGCCTAGGCAGATGGGTCTGAAGCATTTTTAAAGTCCAGGAATAGCTCAGGAATAGCTCACTGCCTCTCTGATTCACTGAATTATAAAGGAGGAGGAGGAGGAGAAGGAGGTCCAGCACAATCAGTCTTGCAAGACTTGTCATTAGAGCCACTCTCAGTGAAAGTAGTTTTAGCCTTCCTGCGGAGTTGATTTCCTGGTCTGGTTGACCTAGTGGAATTGACACATGGTAAAAGTGAGTAAAATGCATGCAAATGACCCCTGACCTTACATCCTGGGCTCTCACAAGGTGCCACATGGAGCCTAGGAATCCATGGCTAGCCACCGTGATGCCAAAATGATGTATTTGCATTGTGACTTCACAATGCAAGCTCCACCCTTTCACGCTTGCATCATGATGTCGCGGCACATGTTTCATCACTTGGCCCCTCATTCCATCCCTTGGCTGAGATGAAGCTTGGGTTCACCCAGAATGCTAAGCTTTACTTAGTGATGCATGACCCCCTCTGTGATGATGTAATGTTACATGGGAACCACGTACCTGTGGCTTGCTCAACAAATCATGGTTAAAAATCTTGACTTGTATTAGTGCGTACTTGGCTGAGGACCACATATAAAGTTTTTCTTATCAGATTTGGGCTGATTCTTTTTTCTTGCATTCCCCCAGTTCTCCATCACCTTCCTTCCCGACTATCTTCATCCCAAGTCTTCACTGTTAGCTACTGTTCTTGAAAAGTTAGTGTCTTTGAACACACTGGACCAGGCATAAATTTCATTCCCCCATTTTCTTTTTCTTTTCGCTCATCCAGTTCTTCTTTTTCTCCTGGCTGGGTATGTAAAAATAACCCAATTTGCCCAGATGAAAGCAACAAGGGGGTGGGGGGGGGAGGCCAATCCCTCAATCAGGCCTGGGAGTCCATCACCCTGTGGAGCTTGTGAAATGAAGAATAGCAGCCACAGCAGCGTGGGCTTAATGGGGCTGAAGCAGGAGATTGCAGGTCATTTGCATCAGCAATATTTTAATTGGCCCAGAGGTACTTCCAAGATTGGCATCCAGCTATAGCTCTCGGTTGCCTTAATATGCAGTGCTCCATTTCAGAAGAGTGATCTCCTCATTCAGGAAACATAATGGTGTGCATTAATTCTGTAACACAGTTGCAAAATGTTAAGTCACAGGGTTTTCCATTGCAGATTCCTCATGCCCTTGTGTCAGTTCTACAAATTGGACCACTGAGATATAATTTTTTTCTCTCTCCCAGCTATGCAAAGGAGGAAGAAAAATTAAATAGCTGCATCCGCTCTGGCCTAATTGTTCTGTGAGCTTCTTACGGGCTTTATTTCCAGTTCTCAAACTCGTCTGGCGGTGGGTTGAAGGAATGTTGGATCCTCATGGAGGTCCTGTTGTTCTGCATGCTTGCTATAAAAGATCACATTGGCAGTGATAAAATATTTGTGTTTTTCATGTTCTCACAGAAGCACTAAGAAACTTTTCTTTTCTGCAATGAGATCAAGGGATTTCAATTGTAAATACAAACAAAGTTGCATTTAGGCATTGAACAAATGTGTATGAAAAGGCAACCTGAGCTTTGAGGGCTTCATAGCCTATAAGGGTGTTCCAGTGTCTTCTACCTTGAGAATAAGTTCTGTAGAACTTTTTGCAAGAGAATAAGGGGATACACCAATGTGATATCAGTAGGAGCCTTCTCCACCCATGTGCTTTTCTTGAAGTTGGGTGTATTTCTAGCATTGGATGTTGGGTAGGCTGTGGAAATGACAAATAGAATGGGGAAACATCCCAGTCCTTTCACTCATATAAATAAGAATCTTGGAAACTATAAGAGGAATTTCACTACCGTGTTTATAGTGAGTTAATTAAGATGGAGGCTCTTTGAATGATTTGAGACACTGCTGCTTCTCAGGTTTCTTGCTACATGGGCTAAGTTGCTATTTATGAGTCTCATCTTACGTCTTTTGATTGTTCATGTCTACTTTCCCTTCCCTTCCTTTCCCAGCCTCCCCACAGTCTCTCACAGATTCATATACACATGCCTGTTGATGCATCATGATGGGATATATACTGTATATACATACACACACATACACACAGCATGGGCTATATGTGATTTTAATTGTTCAATTTGAGTAGATTCATATGAACATGCATATTGGTGTATCTTGACTGAAGAAGTATTTTGTGAATGGAGACCGGAATGTGGACTCTTTGTAGTCCAGTCTGCAAAGGGCATCTTACACATGGACATCACTTGAGTTGTAGTGTTGAGTGAGTTGACCTGTGGGACAGGTGGAAAACCTAACCATCCAGTAATCTCCTTTGCAGGGTAAGGGAGCAAACACCTGTGCAATTCTCTCTCTCTCTCTCTCTCTCCCTCCCTCTCTCTCTCTCTCTATATATATATATTATATATATTATATATATAAAAATTAAATTTGTATGCTGCCCATCTCCCCCCAGCAGGTGACTCATATACCTTAATGATAACGCCTAGGTAGGCTTAGTCCCTGATTTGCCTTTGATTTGATCTTCTGGGATTTTTCTTCTAGCTCCTTAGAATGACAATTGCCAAGCAAAGACTTGGAGATGAAGAAGTTGGGGCACGTCATTTTGCACCCCATGAACGTGAAGATCTTGTGCAGCAGTTGGAGAAAGCCCGAGAACAAGTAATTGAACAAAATGCATGCCTTGTGAAAGTACATTCTGGCCTCTTCATTATAGATTTTACTTCTTTGTAGGGCAAGTAATTGAAAAGAGATTTGGTTTGATCAGACAAAATATCCATCTGGCCTAGCAGTCTGTTTCCACAGGGAAAATGCAACTAGTTAGCATTAAAAACTAAATGTTATTTGGGAAAGCTCAATGGTTAGGTGGTTATTTCACTTCTAAATGTCATAAGCCAGATTTATTGGAGCCCTTCCTGGTTGTTGGTTTCTTGGTGTTCTGTGAGCTGGGTTGTTCTCCTGTACACCTTTCATTACCAGACTAGGTAACATCAATCAGTCCACAGGACAGCAAAACTCCTCTCTCCCATGCACCAAAGATGTTACCTAGCCTAGTAATGAAAAGTCTGCAGGACAACCTAACTCAAAGATCACTAAGAATTCAACTCTGAGCTATGTATATTTCTACTACTGGAATTTTTCCTGGTTGTTAGGCTCAATGGAGCATTTGTCCTTGGCCCCAAGTCCTGCTATGATGGCGCCATTCCTCAAGGAGCCAGTTAGATGCCACCAGAAGATCCCAAACAGTAGTGTTTTCCCCTGCTGTTGCTGACCTTATAGGTGATCAATGGGGCACTAAGTCTCATACAGACTTCCACGCACCCATTGTGATCAGTAGCCATTGACTCAAATAGCAACTTCAAATCAAGCTCAATGTCTCATGATTAGATGGCATGGCTGTATATTGTGGCAACAGTAGGAAAATGGTTCACCACTGCCTTCTTCTGAGATGTGTTTTCAAACATTTCCATGGTGGTCTCCTATCTAAGTAATAACTAGCTTTGACCCTGTTTAGCTTTTCAAGGTTGGCCATCTCTTAATAGAACAAGAAACAGAATCCTTCTTCCGGTTGGTATCTTTTCTGCTAACTTCAGCCACATTTGTTACTGAAAATAGGCATGGAAGATAGGAAGAATTGGCAAAAATAAGTGAAGTGAATTGGCCTGGGGAAATGTTTGGAACCCTTCTTTTCCTTATCTTCAGTAACACTTTTGAGCTTGGCTCTCTTGCCAGATTGAGACTCTACAGCTTGATCTTCAAGCAGCATTGGATGAGCTCCAAGATGTGAAAGAAGAGCGTTCTTTTTACCAAGATAAATCTGACAAACTAAACCAAGAGCTGAATCATGTTCTCGGGGGACACGTTGACCGCATTATTGATATTGATGCTCTCTGCATGGAGAATAGGTGAGTTTGCTTAGGAATTATCATGATTTATTAGGACAGGACATAAGTCACTTCAGAACTGAGTTTACACTAAAAGTATTCATCAAGGCCCATTTTTGCTACAAATATTGTAGTTTGTACAAATGCAGCAAAAACAAGATAGAAAATTGTTTAAAATGATTGTAAAATCAGAAATAAAAATAGCCAAATCACTAAAGAGAGAAAAATTACATTAACCTGTTAACATAGTGTAAAGGGATTAATTTGGACTGAGCAAGATTTTGCCCCTGGGTCCTAGACCTCTAATCCACTTGTTGTTTATTATTATGATGTTAGACCTGCCGCAGGATAGTAGCAGTCTGACTGGTTTTAAATATGGGTGCTCTGCCATTCCAGAAAGATGCGGAGTGTCTCATGGCTGCTAAACAGAATGTGGCTATAGAGCATGTAACATTGGTCTGACAATTTGACAAGAGGATTGAGCTATATATTTTATATTCTCTGCCTGATAAGTCTTTTACAAGGGGTGCAAACTTCATGATTAAGATGTCTTGGAAATCCCTATAGAAATTGTAATATAGTAGGACGTGGCCTGAGTTCTCTAATCCAAGAGAACCACCAGTGCTTCTAAACATAGTCCATTGACATGAAATCTGTTCAACTTCAGAGAAGTGACCTGAGGGTACTCACAATTCCCTCAAGAGGAAATCTTCATGAGGAGGTGCTCTGAGTTTAATTCCTCTGATTCCTCTGAACGTGCAAGTCACAGTTGTTTGGGTTCAATACAGAGCTACCTAGGGACAATTGGCAGCAATGTCAGTCAAAAAATATCACTCCTTTTTCTTCTGCTCCACTGTTGATGGTGGAAGCAGGTGCCTCTGTGTTGGAAGAACGCAAATCTTATTTGTAGAAAAGCAAAAGAGAAAGCATATCTTACTCTTATTTCAACTTATTTCAAGCAATCTTCTCTTATGAACCATATTTCAAACACTTAGACTAATATATGGACCTAAGATGCTTTCTGTTATACTGCCTAGCATATTGGGAAAATAAATTGCTTTTTTCTAAGCATTTCCCAGAGCTTTGAGGAGTGTTGAGATGTTTTACTGAGAATTTTGTGATTTATTCCCATTCCTTCCTCTTATTCTCACAGCCAGCAGTTGAGGTAGGCTGAGAGGTGCTGATTGATCCAAGATCAGCTATTGAATTCCATGGTTGAGGGAGATATAAATCTAGGCTTTTTACACTAGTTTTCCAAGAAACTTTTAGAACATCTGGGGGGAAAATCTACAAGATATCTCACTATTCCAGATGCCAGTTCCCTTTTTCTTTCACAAGATCTGGGTAACTTCCATGCTTAGGTCTAGTTCTTGGTAAACCATTATGAGCTGCTCTCAAGTTTCATGAATTTGTTGACTGGGTATTGAATGTAAATTGTTGGATTTTGTCTCCACTTGACCGTCTGTCCCATTCTTTCCCTTCCACTATGATGCTCGTAGTTCATTTTGAAATAAATAATGGCATTTGAGTAATATATTACCATTCCCCCCCCCAAATTCAGATACCTTCATGAGCGATTAAAGCAAATTCAAGAAGAGGTTAACATTCTGAAATCCAATATTGTGAAATACAAGGTAAATTATATTGTGAACTATAGGGTAAATTATGTAGTAATGTTTTATTTTTGCAATGTAATATGGAAGAGGTTAACATTCTGAAATCCAATATTGTGAAATACAAGGTAAATTATATTGTGAACTATAGGGTAAATTATGTAGTAATGTTTTATTTTTGCAATGTAATATGTTATATTTCAAACTTATTACAAGGCTAATTAATGTTGGCTTTTTTTGCTTTGTTACTCTTTCAAATATTTATTTGAGGGCATATTTCATTCACCAAAAAACAAACAAAACCCTGCTAATATTTCTCCATGGTTTTAAGTGCAATTAGATAATTTAGCATTTTTTTACCATGAAGCTTTAGGCAGCTTTTAAACATAATATTTTCTGTTTGTACTGGTAGAATTATTCTCTCGCATAATTAATCCTGTGTTATTTGCCTGTCAAAAGATAGTTTCAGTCCACCTTATTCCCCGTGAAAATGTATTTGTTGAGGAAGAAATTGCTGTAATCAATTTATGTGCATCTCCTAAACCTGTGGAATCATAGAATTACAGCTGTGGAAGAGATCTCGGAGGTCATCTAGCCCATCCCCAGACCCCTCATTGTCTCTGTGACAGAGGACTTCTCTGCCCAGCACAAAAATTAGAAAAATAACTTTCACAGAAGGAAAATGTCACTGAGCCATAATTGATTCATTCTTTGACACCCAACAATAAATGCGTTTCATTAAATAAGAAAATTATACTTCCATTGTGATATAGCATGATATGTTTATTTTTTAAAAACATTAGGGCTCAAATCACAGGGCCCTGTGTATTTTGCACAAGCCCCGTCTAAATTAAGAAACACACAACTATTCATTATGCATATTCTTGGTTTAATGTGTAGCAAATTGGTGCCTGTCTCCTTCCTTTATTAAGTTCAGCTGTTTCTTTTGTAGTTTTCTGGACTTTGCTCCCACGTACACCCCTGTTTTGGTGAGATAAAAAAATTATTCCACGTCCTCCAAGTTTACATATATTATCTATGGAGTACCATGATATGTTGCTGCTTGATAAATAGTGGCGTATATTCAGTTGAACAAACTGCAAGATGAAAGTTGGATTTCTTAACATTTTTTTTTTAATCAGATTCCCCCCCCCCATTTTAATGCATTTTTCCCTTGGGCTTTTGTTTCTTTCTTTAGAACGCTCTAGAAAGAAGGAAAAATTCCAAGGGTCATAACAAATCAAACAGCAGTGCTCTGACTGGAATTCTTTCAGCAAAACAAGGTACGGCACAGAGTTCTGCCCTTGCTCTTTTCTTCTGAAATTGAGAATGGTGGTCCTAATAGGACACCTACACATGAGGGCCTTGTACCACTTTGTGTTTGGCCCCACATTGGGGAGCAGAGTTGATTTATTTCTGGTTCTATTGGGGTTTATTTGAAACTGCGTCATAGCCTGCATTTTTCTTGAATTCCCAGGGATCTGTATCATTTCATCTTCATAGCTCACAGGATCTTTTAAATGGAGCAGCGGAATGCTGGCTGGGCAGCCAGGAAGCTTCCCTCAAAGTAACCCTTCAGATTTTTTTTTTTTTTCCAGATCAACACATAACTGTACCCAACATGTGATCAAAAGCATAGATGATTAGTAATTTACCTTATTCCTCTTTTTTACAGAACGGGAGAGGAGGGGGAGGAAGGATTGTTGTTTATTAAATCAGAACTGTAATAGGTCAGGGACATAGATTGGATGATATTCCTTGTTGTCTCCTATTGATGAGCTGGAGGGTGACCACTGATTGGCTTGTGGCATTCCCTGCACATTTTCTGTTTTTCAAGGATGGAAGAAGCAAAGGCAATCTTGGATGGGCTTCCAACTGTTTGTGAGGGATTGGGAAAAAGAAATTATGGCGGTGTGGAAGTGCCCTCATTCTGAGGCTTAAATAAAAACTGAAGGAACAGACAGCTAAACCAACCCTCCCCACACCCCCCATTCTCTTCCAAATCAGGGTAGAAGTAAGTATAATAGGAGACTGCTGTCACATTCTCTCTCATCCCCTTCCCTCGTAATGCTCAGTTATTCATTTCTCAACACCCACCTCATATCACTATGTGCAGTGGGTGGAGAAGTACAGGACAGTGATAGCACGTTACCGCATATTCGATTGCTCTTATCTACTGCTAGGAAAAATTCAGTGTCTCTTGTCTCTAACACAAACAGATGGTGGCAAGGAACTGTAAAGTTTGGTGCTATTTCTCTAGTCTCTTTTCTCCTCCCTGGAAATATCTTAAAGTGTGTTTGTTTTATTTTTAAAAGATGCCAAATATCATTCTGAAGAATGAAAAAGCCCCCAAACGCACCATAATTAAAAGACCTGACCCTTAAATACTACAGCAAACAAAACAGCAGCCCAGGTTCTTAAAATGTTTCTTAGCAAGCAAATGAAAAGCTGGCTTTGAGCCTGAGATGACTGTTGCATTCAGAAATAAAGGATAATACAACTTCTCACTGATAATGTTCGTTTGGGGAGAAATGATTGGAAAATTAATCTGTTCATACAGCTCCCAGAATTCTCAATAGTGACCAAGTTGGTTGGGGAATTCTGGGAGTTAAACTCACACATCTGGAAGTTACTGAGATTGAGAAATGCTGCTGTAGACTTTACTGAGATGTTCTTCCCACTCAGAAGAATGTGGTGTCATGTAGTAGCATGTGATGAAAATAGTAATCAATGTCCAGTTTTTTGAGAAATGAATACTGTAAAAACCTTCCTAAATTGGTTTTGATTTCCTTCAACTGTTTCTAGTCCAAGAACTGTTATCGGAGGATCACGGCTGTAGTTTACCAGCAACCCCTCAATCCATTTCTGATCTTAAATCTTTGGCTACTGCTTTATTGGAGACAATCCACGAGAAGAATATGGTTGTTCAGCACCAAAGGCAAACCAACAAGTAAGTGATTTCCCTACAATATTACTGGTGTAGGATTTTTCTACAACTTTTGCTGATCTTGTCATTTGTATACCCTTACTAAAATGTGTGATGTGTTGTGGAACTGTCTATGTTCCGAGGACTTTAGAATCTGAAATTCAGCACGGGGAAAAACACTGAAAAAAAGGAGAAGGATATACATATATGAGGAAAGAGTGTATAGTCTTATTTTCATGTGCTTAAGTGACATCCTGAGAGCCAGTTTGGTGTAGTAGTGAAGGCATCAGGCTGAAAACCAGGAGACTGTGAGTCCCACCTAGGCACGAAGCCAACTGGGTGACCTTGGGCCAGTCCCTCTCTCTCAGCCTGAGGAAGGAGGCGATGGCAAACCATTTCCGAAATCTTGCCAAGAAAACTGCAGGGACTTGTCCAGGCAGTCTCTGAGAATTGGACACAATTGAATGGGTAAAAAAAAAAATGTGACAACCGAGGTCACCAAAGGAAATGGAAATTAGACAATTCCACTGCAGTGAAACTTGTCCCCAGCAGTGTTCAGGAGAAGCCACGATGATGGCATCACATGAAGTACATAATTTGCATTATTTGCAGGACAATGTCATGACACATGCTGTCCCTGGCCCCCTTGCCTTGCACAGGGGAATGCCCTTGCTCATTCCAGATGTTTCCTACAGCTTTGGTTTGTCTCTACGGTATGGCAGAGACAGTGGCTTTGTTAACCCCTTTGCCAGTTTCTCGCAGAGGTGCCCTGTTTGCAGAAGGTTTGATTCATGATCTTAAGAGCCAAGCAACTTTTTTTTTTTCAAAATTCAACTAGGCATGTAACATCTTGTTTAGGAGTGTCTGACTTTTAATTGTGCTTTTATCTGCTACTTTTATGCTTCAGAACTTGATGGCATGGAAATAAGCAAACAGGCCTGCTTCAGATGAGGATGGGGCAAATTGCTCTTTCCTGTAACTTTTGCATGTTTCCATAAGGTCCTTGTTTCATCTTTCTGCATCAATACGGAGACTTTGAAAACGTTTTACAGTAGTTAAATATGTTTTTAAAATGTTCTCTATTTCCTAGTCTATTTTCTTTCCGATCTATTTCCTATCAGCCATATTTTGCTACTTCTTTTTCTAAAAACGAACTACTTTGGAAATCAATTTGAATCTATATATTAATGTGAGAATTGTGGGTGAAGTCGATTCCTATCAGAATCAGTAGAGAGTCCACACATCTTAAAGTCGCCAAGTTTGAAAAACACTGCCTTAAAGCATCTGTGCTTTTTGTAAAGATTACAGGGGGAGAAAATGCAGCTTTCTTTGAGGTGTTCAGACAGGAGTTCTGTTTAAGTTCCTTTCGGTGATAGAATTGAAATGGTGCAGAATCCTATTGCTTATGCAAAGTTGAGCCATGCAACTCTATAGTTTTCCCATGTTTCACGGGGAATTTTCCCTGTGAATCAGTCCTAAGATCTAATCCTAATCAGTCCTAATCAGTCCTAAGATCTTCTTAAATTAGAGAAACAATTGAATCTACGTGGTCTATCTGTCTAGCACATATTCTGATTTCTCAAATTACTAAACAGGAGGTTATCTTATTTTTTGTCCTAATGAAGTGTTTCATTGCATTCGTAAAATTTCAAAGGCCTAAAGCCTAATCGTAATATTTTTCATCTCTAAAAACTTGTTATGCATGGATCTACTTTTTATTTTTATGTGATTTATAACTACGGTCCCAGTATTGCAATGATCAAGTACATTATTATTTGATAAAACATGCAATGCTTGTTTTTCTTCACTACTGCTTTTTTCTTTTAAACAGTTTGCACTCTCAGTTGAAAATGCTTGAATTCTTTTCTTCTAGTTGTCCTGATTTGCTGTCCAGTTCCAGATTACTAGCACATCCATAAGTCCTGCTGGACAGACATCTCAAACTAAGCATGGCAGAAATGATGTTCCTAATGTAACTTAAGCTCTCCATCCATATCCAAAATAGGGTTTATAAATTTCTGGGGTGGTAGATTTGAGTTAAGTATTGCATCCTCCTGTTCATTCTCTTCTATTTCCACTTCTTCATGATACCTCCTTCCTTTCAGTTATAAGTCATGCTGTTACTTAGGTGAGTATAAATTTGGGGAGATTCATGATGGACTCAAGTAATCAATATATTTGAGCTGAAAGGTTTTGTACCTTCCATCATTTCAATGGTTCAGTGGACCAATTTACCTCCTTTCTAAATGTAGAAGATATGTATCAAATGGGAATGTAATATATTTTATTGCAACTTAGTGGATGAAAGTATTTCTAGCCTGGTGTTATGAAACATAGAGAAATACACACACACACACACACACACACATATAGCATAGGTACATATATATGTGTGTGTGAGAGAGAGACAGAGCTCGTGGATGAAAGTATTTCTAGCCTGGTGTTATGAAACATAGAGAAATACACACACACACACACACACACACACACACACACACACACACACATATAGCATAGGTACATATATATGTGTGTGTGAGAGAGAGACAGAGCTCTTGCAGATAGAATCTTAAACAGCACCTGTATCTCCATAGTAAATCTCATTCTTTCCATACTTTTATATAAAGTATTGAATCCTTGTTTCAGAATCCTAGGTAACCGGGTGGCGGAATTGGAGAAAAAATTAAGAACTTTAGAAGTCTCTGGTTTATGGAGTCTCCCAGGTTAGTAACATTCACAGTAATTCACAATTCTTGAGTAACTGAATGTGATGTGTTATTCAATCTAAACGTAGTTTTAATTAAAGTAAAACTATTGCAATTAATTAGACTTTAGTTTGTGATCCTTAACATAAATTCCATTGATTTCAAGGTGAGACATTCTGAATCTAGCCTCTTGAGAATTTAAACATATACATGATATGGAACTTTAAGATTACAGGAGATATCAATATTATATGTATTTTAGGTTTTATTATTTATTGTAAGCCTTTTTTGGTATCTCCCAAAAAGAGTGTGAATCCCCCACCCCATATTCATAACAAACAGTAAGATTTTTCAAAATTAAATCATTGTACTAATCCATAATTTAAATAAGAGAACTTTTGAGACTCTATATTAAAGCATGTCATTGAGCTGAGACGCACAGCAAAAAGATACAGTACAATTTCAGTGACGGTAACATTTGAGAATGCCACAAGGATATTGTATCTTGACCATGCTTTGTTTTTTTCTAGCTAGAGTAAGACCTTCTTACCTAAGATACTAGCTTTCCAATATCAGGGGTGATCTTGATTTAGAACTATTCACACTTGCAACTCCAAACCTGTATGTAGAAGGTCATTTACTAAAAAATGGTACAGGTAGATGAACTTTAGGTACAGATTCTGAAAGTTAAAATGAAACCAAATCTATTATGAAATGTATCTTTCAGTTACTAAAAACTGCAGTTGCAAAAGCATTGATCAGATTTATCCCCACCCCCAATATTATTATTCTACTTAAAAATACTCCTGAAAATTGGGGAGAAAAGAATTTTATAAAACACATTTCCAATGACATAGATGACTCTGAAGCCATCCTATCCCCCAAGTTACAGTTTGATTCTTTAGAGGGAGTGCAGTTCCTTCCAGAATAGGTGAACAATAAACAATCAGTAAATGTTACCTATCTTTTGTCTGTATTGAATGTTAGTGTACTAACATTTATCTAGTCCATAACTACAACCAGGAACTGATTAAGTCCTTCCACTGTCTGCTTTGGACCTAATAGAAAAAGTAGTGGGAGATCTGCATGTTATCAGCCTACAGATGAAACATGTTTTCTGCATTTTCAAATTATCTCATTTCACGGTATATTGTAGACCTTGAACACCACTGGTGATAAGGTAGAATACTTCAGAACTCTTAGTGTGAATGCTGTGGAACTGAGCATAAACATTTTAGCACCATCTTCTGGAGGCAATCATCTACATGTGAATGGAACCATTTCAAAGCTCTTACATACTCATTGCAGTTCAGGCAGCTTCTCCAAAAGGATACTATGGTACTGAAAGCCTTTAAGACAACTAGGAGAATGACTGGGGATGTAAAGAAAATTTTACAAAGCAGTTTTAAGGCAGACACATGATTAGTTGAACTTCTTCAACTTTATTGAACTAGTCTACATCACAAGATCCTAAGAATGGAAGTCAAACCCCCCAAAATCTGGGCCAGCACTACTCTGGGTAGCTCTATGGACCTATTTATTTTCTATTTATTATTGTAATTTTATGATTTTAATTGATTTTAACTGTTTTGTAAACCATCCAGAGTCGTTCAAAGAGATGGGCGGTGAAAAATTTAATATATAAATGAATAAATAAAAATAAATAAATGTGGTGATATTGTTGAGGACAATATTGTGAGGGCATGTTTTTCCTAGGGCATGTTTTTCCCCAGCTTGTCACATTACAATTGCCCACCAACGGCTTTATCAGCATTTACTATTGTCAAACAATATTGTTTGTGCACCTTTTCCACAGACTTGTTGATTAATTGAACTTCATCAACTTTATTGATGCTCAAAAGTCTGTCTGCAATTGCCTAGTGGTTGAACATGTATGAAGGCTCAGGGCATGTGATGCAAATGCATTAAAGCCTAGACAATGTGGGAAACTTTTCAACTTTTCAATGTGGCAAATACTGAACATTACAAATGTTGCTTTGGGTAACTTATTTTCCATCCATCCATCCATCCATCCATCCATCCATCCATCCATCCATCCATCCATCCATCCATCCTCTATCATCTATCTATCTATTGCTAGCAGCTCCTGAATAATTTGGTCTGACTTTGTGACACTTAATACCAAAGGCGCTGCTCCCTTATTTTGTCCGTGGGCTATTGAAGAGCTCTGACATCTATAAATATCTTCTGCTTCCATGATTTTTTTTTAGAAACAATGATTATATAGATAAGGCCCAGAAATACAGATCCAGTAAATAGATTACTTTTACTGCACCAGCTAATAGTTCGAACTACACTCTCTCTTCTTCAGGCAGAGATAAGAGTAACAAGAAGGTAAAATTAGATAGTTTCGTACTCCTGGTAATCAGACAGTAGGAAGGAAGGAAGGAAGGAAGGAAGGAAGGAAGGAAGGAAGGAAGGAAGGAAGGAAGGAAGGAAGGAAGGAAGGAAGGAAGGAAGGAAGCGATCAGA